AAAACAACAACCGCCAGGCCCCCAGGCTGGGGCGTGACGGCTCTGGCCTGCAGCCCCACGGAGCCGCTCTTCGTCGCCGCGGCCGCGCCGCGCGGCCCCTCCTTCGGCGACGCGCCCCAGCCCTCCCTGCGCCGCGGCGTGTTTGGCGCGTTCAACCTGCGGGCGTCGCGGCGCGTGGGTTCCTACGTTTTGCCTGGAGAGCCAGCTGTGTGCTCCCTCGCTTTCAGCCGCGACGGCGGCCTCTTGGCTGCCGGGACCGAGGAGGGCCAGGCCGCCCTCTTCGACCCGGCCGCGCGGCCGCAGCCGGCGCGCGTCTGGGCGGCCTCCGCGCTGCCCCGGCGCGGGCCGGCTGCGGGCGGCGGCGCCGCGGTGCTGTTCCGGCCCGGCGGCGCCGGCGGCGCGGGCGCGGGGCCAGACGGGGGCCTGCTGACTTTAAGGGGGGGCTGCGTGCAGGAGTGGTCGCTTTCAAACCTGCGGGCCCCGGCGGCGACGGTAGACGTCGCGGCGGCCGCGGCGGCGGTGGTCGCGTCCGCGGCGGCCGCGGCCGGCGGCGCGCGGGGTTCGCCCGGGTTCATGGCCGCGGCGATGATGGCTGATGACGGCACCGGCGAGTCGGAGGCCGATGGGGACGCGGACTTGGGGGGCCCGCACTTTGCGGACCCTGGATCAGGGTCCGACGACGGCCGGGACGACGCGGCGAGCGGGGGCGGTGTCAGCCTGGGAGCAGGGGGCATCAGCAGGCGGAGCGGCGGCGGCGGCGGCGCGACGGGGGCCCTAGAGGGTGACGAGGGCGGTTGGAGCTTCAGTTTTGCTGTGGATCCCGCTGGCTGCCGTGTGGCGGTCGCGTGCGGGCGGGGGGGCGGCGGCAGCGGCGGCGGCGGGGCCCCGGGCGGGGGCGCAGTAGGGGGCGACGGGTGTGTCTTGCTGTATGACATATCGGGGGGCATCTGGAGGCCGCCGGAGGTGCTGCTCGTGTCGCCGCTGCTTGCAGGCGCATGTCCTGTCGGGTGGCACCCGTCGGCGGCGGCGCTGGTGTGCGGCGGCGGCGAGGGGGGCGGCGCGCTGCTGACGCTGAGGCTGGGGGCGCACTGATGGCTGCAGCCGTTTCAGGAGCAGCCACGCCCTTTGTTCACCCGTCAGCGCAGGCGTGCCTCGCTTCTTGTAAGTGTCACAGATGGGGCTTGCAAGCTCAGTGATTTGGATGTAGACTCAGCAGCAGCCGTGGGCCAGGGTGATCTGCATCGCGGGCAGCCAATTCGCTGTCCGGCCGCTCATCAGTAAGGGATGCTGTCAACAATGCCTGGGGCAGGACCCCGAGGTGTGTCGCAGCATACGGTATCTGCATATATGTATATAGGCATTCAGTGGGCCTCACCCCGCATTCTGGCCCTCACACGCCGTTCCAACACTGCTTTGCAGCTGCAAAGCGGCTGGGCTTGAGTGATGATGTCCAGTTTGGGGCTCCCCAGTGCCCCGTCCAGACCAAGGAGCAGCGGCTGGTTGCGTGCAGCAACAGTTGACTTCATGCCAGGCACGACAGGTGTTTGGGCGCCTGGGAGCTGCGGGTCGTTGTGCGGACGAGGTCCTGCGCAGGGCAGGCCGGCAGACACACTTCTAACCCGTTCAAATGAATGCTGTCTCTGGGCTATATCACAACTAGCCTCAACAGCACAAACCATATTTACCATTCTAAAAACTTACGATGGCTACCAACGGCTTTCACGTCAGCTCGGAGCACCAGCAGGACATGCGGGCCATCTTTCCCGAGGCCCTCAGCACGCTGCAGGAGGCAGATCCGGAGCTGGCCGAGATAATCAAGGACGAGCAAAGGCGGCAATGGTGCGCCCTTGCTCAGAGCACCGGCTCGCCCTGTGCGGGCGGGTGCGCGTGGCTGGGACGCCCTCCTGCGCCCTCATGGGACCGTCTGCCCCAGCCAATCTCGCTCACGGGACTATCTCCCTCTCTTCTGACGGCAGGCTGGGCATCGAGCTGATCGCCAGCGAAAACTTCACCTCCGCGCCAGTGATGGAGGTGTGCTGCTGTTGCGCAACCGCTGCACCACCTGGCCCTGGTCGCATCGATCCGCCCCGTGTTCAGCATGACACCTGCCAGTTTCTCTTGCAAAACATTTTCGGGCTCTTCACGGCAGTTCCTGCATCGGATGCAAACAGCAGTTGCCAGCGTGCCGCGACATTGCGCAATGCGCACAACGCCTGGCGCCCACCCTGCCCCCGAACCCAAGGCCCTGGGCTCCTGCCTCACCAACAAGTACAGCGAGGGCCAGCCTGGCGCGCGTTACTACGGCGGCAACGAGAACATTGACAAGGTGAGTGTAGCTGAAGCCGAGGGACGGCACGGGTTGGTGTCCATGTGCTGGTGGGTGCGCGTGTGCATGTGAGCGTGTTTGATCGATTGGATCCGTGCCCATCTCATCGCCGCACAGTGGCATGCAGCGCAGACGTGGAATCACATGTGGGACGCGGCTCAGCCATCCAAACCCATTGCGTCCTCGCACTCGTCGGCCCCTACAACCGCACCCGCCGCGAACACGGGCGCCGCCTGCCGTTTTTGTTGTGTTTGACCAGATCGAGTACCTTTGCAAGGCGCGCGCCCTCAAGGCATTCCACCTGGACCCCGCGGCCTGGGGCGTCAACGTGCAGCCCTACTCCGGCAGGTGGGCGCAGAGAGTGCGGGCGCACACCCTGTCCTGTGTGCGCGCGCCGTGCAAACCCGAACCCAGGACAGCTTGGCGGGGCGCGGCGGGTAGAGCGTGCCCAGCAGGCGCTGCGGGGTGTCCAGACAGGCGGGACGGCAGTGGCTGGCCCTCGTCAGCATTGGCTAGGTGGGCAGCACCACGCGTCCTTCCTCAACTCTTGACTCGCTGCACGCTTGATCCGTGTGTGTGCGCTCGCAGCCCCGCCAACTTTGCGGCCTACACGGCGCTGCTGCAGCCGTTTGACCGCATCATGGGGCTCGACCTGCCCAGCGGCGGCCACCTCACGCACGGCTACTACCATGCCGGGAACGGCAAGAAGGTCAGCGCCACGTCCATCTTCTTCCAGGTGAGGACTGGGGCACGAGGGGTGCGATGGGGGGACAAGGGGCGCGGCTGAGTGAAGAGGGGTGCGGCTGAGGGACGAGGGGCGCAGCTGGGCCTGGGGGGGGGAACGAGGCGCGCTTCAGGCCGAATGATGCAACAGGAGCTGTGGCAGTGGATGGCCGCGGTGGGAGCGTCAGTCTTGCACGCGGCGCGTGGCGCGGCCCCCACGGCGCGGCAGCGAGCACGCGGCGCAAGCTTCCCGGCCATGCGTGTGACTGGCTCATTCGCAGTCCTCCTCCCTGCGTTCCCCGCCCTGCCCCCGCAGTCCTTCCCGTACAAGCTGGACCCTGCCACGGGCCTGGTGGACATGGACAAGCTGGAGGAGCGCGCCACAGAGTACAGGCCCCGCCTCATCATCTGCGGCGGCAGCGCGTACAGCCGCGACTGGTGCGCGCGGTTTTGAGGGGGCGCTGGAGCGATCATGGGCTGCTGCTGTGAGCGAGTTGATAGTGCAGACAAGCAGTGGTGGTTGTAAGTTTATACGAGTGCCACACACAGTGTCTTCACACACACGCACGCACACACACACACACACGCACGCACACACGCACAATCTGTCTCTCTCACACGCGCACACACACACACACACACACACCTCTGCACACACATGCACCCCCCAGGGACTATGCGCGTTTCCGCCAGATCGCGGACAAGGTGGGGGCCTACCTGCTGGTGGACATGGCCCACATCAGCGGCCTCGTGGCCGCCAAGCAGCTCAAGTCGCCCTTTGACTACGCGGACGTCGTCACCACCACCACACACAAGTCGCTGCGCGGCCCCCGCGCCGGCATGATCTTCTTCCGCAGGGTGCGCACGCACGCAGCCCCCAGCTGCCGCAGCCTCGCCTCAAACCACCCGATGCTTGGCGCTTGCGGCGCTCCGCGCGGCGAGTAGCTGGCCTGAACATGCTAGCGTGCGGGAGCGTGCCTTGCGCCACAAACAGCGGCTGATGTGCATGTAGGCACCCACAAACACTCACTCAATTTACATACACACAATGCTTGCTTGCACTCATGTCCCCACCTCCTCCCCAGGGCCCCAAGCCCGCGGACCGCCTGGCCAAGGGCGAGGCCCCCGGCACCAAGTACGACTACGAGGAGAAGATCGACTTTGCGGTGTTCCCCTCGCTCCAGGTGAGGCCTCGGCCTGAGGGGGGCTGCGGGCTGAGTGTTCCTTTTGGGGGGGGGGTGGCAGGCTGCAATGCTCCTGTGGTGGCGGGGGCTGGAGTGCAGCAGTTGTCTGGCCAGCCAGCGATTCAACGGCTCTACGACTCCTTACCCTCGATCCTAGCCATCTGCTGACAAACAACGGCTCACCAAGCTCTTCACCCCACCCCCTCCCCCGTCCCCCAGGGTGGCCCCCACAACCACCAGATTGGTGCCCTGGCGGTGGCCCTCAAGCACGCCTGCACTGACGAGTTCGTGGCCTACCAGAAGCAGGTGAATGCCCCTCACACCTTCAACACACACACACACATACATAGAGACACCAGACATCAGCTGACAGCACTCTGCACACTAGCTGCGACACGATACGGCATCTGCTCGCCCTGCTGACACGCCTTTGCACCCTCTCGCGCTGCGCCCGTGCGCCTGCCTCAGGTTGTTGCCAACTGCCGTGCGCTGGCTGCGCGGCTGATCCACCACGGGTTCCACCTGGTGACTGGCGGCACCGACAACCACCTCGTCCTCTGGGACCTGCGGCCACTCGGCATCACCGGCGGCAAGGTGGGTGTGGATCGGGGGCAGGGGGAGGGCGCGGGTGTTTGTGGCAGGGCTGGCCTCAAGGGGCAGGAGATGGCAGCGGCCAGGCTGGCAGGCGTTGGGGGCGGGACTATGCGGGGCGTGCTGCACCATGCTGGTGGATGCACGAGGGGGGGGGGGAGCCGTGGGACGGGGGCGCCCCGGCTTGATGCCCAACGGGCGCCTCGGGGCCAGCCACACCCGTGCGCATGCACACGCACCAGCGCAAACACACACTTTCCCTCACCGCTCCCGCGCCCCACAGATGGAGCGCGCGTGCGACCTGTCCCACATCACGCTCAACAAGAACAGCGTGCTGGGGGACCTCTCGGCCTTCACGCCCGGCGGCGTGCGCATCGGCACACCCGCCATGACCAGCCGCGGCCTTGTGGAGAAGGACTGGGAGCAGGTGCGGGTGGGGAGTGGGGGCGGCCGTGCCCTGGACGGGGCGGGGGTCCTGAGGCGAGGCGCCGTGCCGGTGTGCGGCTGCGCAGCTGGAGTTCCTTGTTGGACTGGGATTGCTGCCCTTCATCGAATATTTCCGCTGCATCACAACCCAGCGCAGCATGCGGCTTCCCCACCCCGCCCCCTACAAAACTCGGCAACTCATCTCCGCCGCCTGGCGCCAAGCCCAAAGCGGCCCAAAGCTGGCATACTGTTCAC